AAATGGTGAGATTAGTTCGATTTAGGCCGAGTATGGTCGAATAGTAGCTTGATCGCAATCGCTTTATGTTTGATTGGTTAACAGGCACATTCATCGGATTGCACAACCATAATCAAACAAACACATGCACACTAGACTACGAGCTATGTGCACTATTACTCCATAACTTAGCATAATATGTGTGGCTTTCAAGTGTTTTCATTTGTGGGCAAAGTGAGATCATTTCGTGGAGCAAAATACAAAATAATATATAAAACATCAAGAATATATTATCAATATAACTACATATATCAAAATAAAGTATACCTTTCGCCTATTCATATGTAGAGAAAAATTATATTTTCACCTAACAAATTATGATGAAGGAGTACGTTTACCTTAGGTTGTGAAATTGATTTATTTCAATCACAACAAAATAGTTAGGGGAAAATTATATTAAAAAAATCATATAAATTACATTAACTTTTGAGCTTTCAAGTGTCTGTTGTTTTGCCTTCTACTTAGCATGAATCCATGTATTTGTTGTGTTATTATATATGCATATATATAGGATTAAAACCTCATATCTCGGAATTCACAATCACCATCAAACAAACACACATACACACTAGAATACTACTAGCTATATTCAATTGTTATTGCACACAACTTCGAATCATGTTTTAAGCTTTCAAGTGTCTTAAATTGTGGAGGAGAGTGAGAATTTGTGAGATTACTTGTCCTTGAAGTGTAAAGACTCTCTCCAGACAAGCTCCTTGATGTCTTGTTCATCCAAAGTTGTCTCTTCAAAGTCGAAGCTGAAAGGAGAAGGACATGTTGGTTCTTCATTGATCTCATGGAGACTTGCCAAGTATGGCTGCTTCAATGCTTCCTCCACTTTCACATCAAGTAAAACATCTTGTTAGTATTTCAAATTTTTATTAGTTGCAGCTCTTTTCCATTTATAGCATCCAAACATACATAAAAAAAAACAACGGGATGCACCTGTGATTCGTTTAGAAGGATCGAAAACTAGCATCTTTTCAGCAAGATCTAGAGCCATTGGAGATATATCTGGGAATTTTTGTCTGAATGATTGTTTTTTAACATGTGGGAGTTGTTTTACGTACTTGCGTGCATTATCGCTTCTCAGGAAGTTAAGATCGGAGTCATCTGGTGAACCTAATAGCTAAAACATAAACAAAACAGAGAATGGTTTTGACTTGCATACACGAAAATGATTAGAGTTTGATTCTGGTTTCAAGCGTTTACCTCAGTGATAAGTTTCAGCTGCTGAACATAATCTTTACCGGGGAAAAGCGTCTCTCTTCTTAGTATCTCCATGAAAATGCAACCAACAGACCAAATATCAATAGCTCCTGTGTATTCCGAGCAGTTGAGAAGCAATTCGGGTGCACGGTACCATCTTGTCACAACATATTCTGTCATTATGTCTGACTCATTCGATGTTCTTGCAAGCCCAAAGTCACATATTTTAAGATCACAATTCAAATTTAGAACCAAGTTGCTTGGTTTCAGATCGCGGTGTAGTACATTTGCAGAGTGTATGTACTTCAGGCCTCTCAAGATTTGGTAGAGGAAGTACTGAGGTAAAAATGAAAAACGAGCTTAAATTTCATAAAACATTATTATGTAAATAAATCTGATAAAACGACCGTTGGATGGGTTAAAACAAAAGCCAACCACACGGTAACAATTGATTTATACCAAACTATAGCTCTGATTATGAATGTTTCCACTGATCATCACTTGAAAAGAGAATTAAAGGAAATTTGCGGAAGACCGACCTGACAATGTTCGTCTGTTAGAACTTGACTGGATCTTATGATCTGATGCAAATCAGTATCCATCAATTCATAAACAATGTACACATCCTCGAATCTCTCCTTCTCTGGTGGCTCGATTATATCTTTCATTTTGATAACCTGCGTAGCAATGTGAACACGATAAGTCAACTATGTGTGTGATTCATCATAGTCAAGAAGAGATTACATTATCGTGATCCATGTGGCAAAGTAGTTTGATCTCCCGGAGAGTTCTTTTAGCATCAATTCTGTTGTCAAACGCATTTGCTATCTTCTTTATAGCAACTTCTTCGCTTGTCTCTGAGTTTGTCGCACAGCTGCAATCAGAGAAAAATAGATTAAAAAAAAGATTGGTTACAAGAACAGAAAGTATTACCGAGTGATAAAAAGACTTACCAGACGATACCATAGGCACCTCGGCCGACAGGTTGAATAGGAGGAATGTATTTTGAAGATAGCTCGAAAATGTTACCGAGTACATTGTACATTACATATCTACCATTATATGTCAAGATTCCTCCATCTTCCATCTTCTCCATCTTCTCACTGTAAGCAATTGGATCAAGACAAGTTATAAGATAAAATAAAACCCCCCCAAGAAAAACAAAGTTTTAAGACTGTTTCATCACTCAAGTGGTTGTTGCCTTTAAAAAGGCAAAGCAGTGAACGAGAGGAGAGAAAATGGTGGCCCTTTTTGCTTTAGGTGGGCCAAATAAAGACAAAAACTTTTTTTGTTTGATCTATGAACTTTGAAATTTGAATGAGAATTGTTGTTCAAAGTTAAGCTTGACTTATGCATCCTTAAGGAAAAATTCAAATTATTAAAAAGCTCTCTCCTTGTGGGTCAATGGCCCCAAGTTAAATCATCTATTTCCACATTTACATAGAATTCACCCAATGTTGAAAAGCAATATGGTAAACATACAAAAATTAGATTATTCACAAGTCCAAATCCAAAACTATATGCAACTAAGAACATGTTTGTCAAATGATCTGGAGCATAATGATTTGAGAAGGTGATCAAACCATACAGTTCTTTTTACAAATTATGGAGTTGGAACTAACAAAAAGTATCAAGAAATATTTTAAATTACCTTGATCATGTTACCAGTTTTACCGTAGTTTTCTCCCTTCACTCATAACAAAGTCGAAATATTCATTGGCACACTATTCTGATGAAGAAGAAACATTTCTATTACTAACTACTAAGTCACACTTCTCATTGAACAATATACACAACTTGAAAAACTGTAATGTAACATAATGAAAAAAAAATACAAACCTAAAGAAAGGATTTGGTTGCAGAGACGTATTTCTCTTCCTCTGTGGTTTGCTTCGTTTAATAAAATGAGAAAGCAAGTCTGGTTCAGGACTTTCATCGAACAGTTTGCGGGCGTATCTGAAAACTACAAACTTTCCATCAAATCCAAGCAGAGAACTCCGAAATCTCGAAAAGTCAAACAAAATCAGGTGGGCATGAATTTGTTCCCCATAAAAACAGAGAGTAAGACAAAAGCTTCCAGAGATTCACTGTGCTCTGAATTTGAACACAGTTGTTATACCATTAACGCGCCTTTCCGGTTTTACGGAAAATATTAAGCGAAATCGATCTATACGGAGTTCGGTTTAACTTTGATTTTTGAAAAGGTTTAAGTAGAAATAAAATAGTCTTTATGACACCAATTCGAGCCCGTCCAAGATGGTTGAGACTCCCAGCAATCTCACACCAGGGTTCGATCATATTGGTACCAACTAAGCACAGAGTCCAAATCTCTTGCTTCATCCCGAGCCAAGCTCTCGTGGATGCAAATTCGCCGGAAGAGGCATCTCTCTCTCTCCGAGCGCTCTTACTTCCTCCCGGAGAAACAATTCTCTGTGGTTGGACTCACTTATACCACACCATCGTGGTACTAAATGAGGTAATCTTAATTACCTCTCTTTTTGTTTGTCATTTTGTTGACCAAATCTGAACAAAACCGTTTCAATTTCCGTAACCGAAACTAAACCAACCATAATTACAAACTTTTTAAACCAAATCATGGACGATGATGATAATTGGACAGGTGAGAAACCTAATTATTCGTCCTCTTGCACTTAACCATTTTCCTTAAGTCTAATGGAATCTTCTTCTGCGTGAGACGCGTTCACACCTGCTACGACCAAAATAACGGAATTACCCACTACTGAACGTGTTTGCCATACCATCTTCCGAGGCTAATCTCGTCAATTTGACTCAAAACGAAAATCAAAATCTGAGGCCTTTTGATATTTCTTTCCCCTAATTGGTGGGTCCGCCACACGAAGCATGATTCCTTCCAATAAAACATTGACAAATATATCCTAATTATTTTGACGATTATTCTTTTCCCATCTTTATACCACCAACCCTAATATCCCGAACGTCCATTACAAAACCGTGCATTGAATCTTGACCGTCGATGAAATCGGCGAATATTGACCACACGATTTCCGTCATCTAACGGCATCTAATAGATCTACTAGAACGTTCTCTTCCTCTATATATTTCGACTTTCTCCTCAACGCTCACAAAAGAGTACTCGTGTCTGACTCGTGCCAGCCACTCGCATTTCTCAGATTTTATTATCCTTTCTCGAAAAAAGGTGAAACAGAA